AAATTGCTGAACTTCTTTGTCCTAATGACTGTTCGTTCAATGGAAAATGTGTAAATGGCAGCTGTGTTTGTAACAAGGAATTTACAGCAGATGATTGTTCAGCATCCATTTATCAAATACCTACGATTTTAGCGTAAGTCTGTGAACATGCTGGAATTTATACAAATAAGCTAAGGTATTGAAGCAGTTTTGGGGTCTAAAATCTTTCGGGTTAACATTTGTTAATTGTCAGCAGAACGGAAAATTCGACAATGAATGATGCTTGTTTAAGTAATTTATTGTTCAAAACTTAACCAAAAAAAAAAAACAGGACGTCAATCGATAGGCCTTGAAAAAAAATTAAAAAAACAGAACTTTAGCTTGTCCTTCAGACAAGCCGTTCTCACGTCTGGCCATTTTGCTTTCCCGGGCTCAGCAGAAAAAACCACTGGACTGGAAATTTTTCGAGCCCTGTATTCACGGTGACAGGAAAACAGTAAATTGAATAGTAAACTTACTGAAACATGAGGCAAGCTATCTAACTTTTTTTCTGTCCATCATAGTGGTAATAGCTTCCTTTTTAAAATAGATTACAAGGCGATGGACTATGTGATAAACGCCAACGACCGTGCCGGAAGGTGACAGTACTTGGGACTGGGTTCATAAATTCCACCAATATGACTTGCCATGTCAAGGAATTCAAGGTCAGATAATAATTGTAGCTGCAACAGGTGGCTTAATTTCCTGCTATCAGTTGTGGAGGAATTACAAACAGTATAAAAAGTTGAAAGGAGATTTAAGAATCAAGAACGGAACCTCGATTAATGCCTCTGTCTGGGGAGGCTTTAGAAAAGGATCTTTTCACAATGCACCAAGCTATCTTAATGGCGAAAACCTCTAGTTAAAGACAATGTAAAATACATGTAACGGGGTTTTTTTTGGCGGGAATTAAATTGCATGGTTACGCGCGTCGTTTAAAGCAGAGACTGTTACATGTAAGGAGTCAATAAAGACAAAATCGAAAGCGGAAATTGTTTCAATAGCAGTGCCGTCTTAGGTATTAAGCTTACATAAATTGTCATGTCCACAAATTGAGAATGTGGCGAAAGAGAAAACGAAAAAGTAGGTGACAGGCTGGCTGAGCTCAACGAGAAAAAGAGCAACAGAGAGCTAGAAGCGCGAGAAAAAAAAACAAAGGATACGAATTTCGTTGGAAGAACAACGTGATATACCGGCGGAGAGATTAAATAAGAAATGCGAGCGGAAAATAGGGTAAAAATGGGGGGCAGCGAAAAAAAGGCGAACAGGAACACAAGTAACAAATTTTTCCTTGAGCGCTCTCGAAATTTTCTCCATAAAACGTGTAACTCAAAAAGTTCATGTTGCAACGGCAAAATAATGTACAAAAAATGTGCCAATTAGATCTACTGATTTGTGTTTTTTTCCCGTCGCAATTTAGAAATACACGATTTTATTTTTGGTTTGGGTAAATTATAAGTATAGTAACGAGGAGCTTTGCTTTATTCACGAGTTGCGAAGAATCACAAACGAACGAGCGAGGTACGAGCGAGTGAGTTAGTGATTCTTCGCAACAAGAGAATAAAAGTCGTAAAAACGAACCAACCATGAAGTAAAGTTTAACTTTTGCACCATCAACCCCGGTGAGAAGTGACATCGCTTGTTGACTACATTTGCGGAATTTTAGGGTGTTGAGATGAACTCGTTTTGTTTGTACGTCGTGCTTTTTCAAACTCGACGTCTTTTGTAATGCTATAGCCGTAAAATTTCCCTTCAAATACCTTTCAAAGCTGGCCTAGTACCACGCAATGGACTGGGCCCATAATTTTCGTTGTCGTCTTTCTTTCTCATTGTTACAATGAATTCGCTGATGAATGAATTGAGTTCGTCTGGGGGAATTTCTTCTACAGCTCGCCTTTTAGCGTCAAAAATTCCTACAGCATAGAAATATTCTGCTCACTTTTCTTTCTTGTGTTTTCATATTCTTGTCCTTCGATGAATTCCTCGACTGAAACTATATCTGCGAACCTTGAAGTGGCCGAAGAGGACGCTATCACTTGACTGTTTTTCCCAGTGAAAGCAGACAGGGAAAGGCGGGAAAACCGATACGATGTTTTCACTAGTGAAGATTTTCGTCTGCGGCCGGTGATTGGTCATAGGATAATTTTCACGGGTGAGAAAAATCGTCCGACAAGTCAAATTGCCAGTAGTTTTCAACAGATGATATTTATTTGTCAAATTATGTTATAGTAAATCTCCGTACATACAAAATAGATATACATACATAAAAAGTATTTTTAAAAACGCCATTTTCTTGAGCAAAGAGTAAAAAATGAACATGAACAGTCTTCACAAACATCCGCAGCCTTGGCTAAATTTCTAAATAAGAACTTTCTCGCTCCGCCGTGAAGAAAACATCGTTAAATTTCTTGAAGGACGATTTGCTAAATTCACAAAACAAAAACTGGGTATTCTTTGCACTTTTCCTTTCCATTTGTCTTTGAATGGTGTATTTTTTTAACCCTGAAATGCGAAACTTTGGTCTTGAAACCTACGCAATTGGTGTGATTTACAGATGGCCTGACAGCTTTTGCCCAGTGTTTTGTACTTTCAAAAACCATGCTTTTCAACCAATCAGAGTGCGCGTTATAACTGAACTTAATTATAAATCGCTGTATGGTCGGTTTCTTGATTTGGTTTGCCGGATTGGTTATTACAAATAGCTAATTGCAGTTCAAGTAATTTAGGATTCACGATTTTGTTGATGATCATTTCTTGGCCGTTTCCCTCCAAGTAGTTAGTAGTAGTTAATGCGGCTAGAGTAGATACCGACATTATAGCGAATAGAAGGCTTTTAAATATTAACTAGTAATAACCAAAGGTTAGGGAGTACGCTTCTAGCTCTGCATGCCAGCAGTGCGGGCGAACGGGCGTATGGCCACGAGACTACCAAAATTTCTCGGAAGCATGGATAAATAAATTTTCTTACCCATTGTGCTCCGCTGCGCGCGGGCACGAGAGCTCCGCTATAACCTTTACCTTTTTAACCTGAACTCTTACACTATATATGATCATTTCTCCAGGTGGTGGAGGGCGCCTGGTCACCAAATAATACAGAACAGAAATTTCCTGGTGAGATGACTGACCTGTTGTTAGCAGACTGTTTTTTACCTGAATCCCCCGTGATGCAAGGATTCTTCCACGAAACTAATGAAGGAGTTCCAGCGGCTGGATTAGTGATAACTGTTTCTAACGACGGTGACCATAAAAGCTCAGAAAACCTTACATTTATTTCCTATGACTCGGCCTGTATGAGTTGCAATATTTCTACTGGATGCGTTTTAAAGGTATGTCAATGCTCTACAAAACAACGGAAACCTCTTGTTAACATCAAGCTCCATTGTGGATTCCTGATACTAAAATGAAGTAAACTTAATGGACCATTTATACTCTTTGGAGCTATGATTTGGAAGATACCAGTGACTTAGTACTCGGAAACTAGGTCAAACGTCTTCAGTCTATTAGAAATAATCACGTCCTTGGAGTCTATGTCAAAGTGAGGCTAAAATTGTTCTAGGTATAAGGGTGACAATTTTAGAGCTTCTGTTTATTCTACTGGTACGGCTGTAAAAATCTTGACCATTACTCTAAACCTGGCTGGTTTTAAAATTAAGCTGGGGACTTGACCGTCAGTGTGACATATCCTTGAGTTATCTGAAGAAACAGAAGCGAAAAAATGTCTTCCTTCTTATTTATCGATTTTTACCTTTTTAAAATTAAAATGAGCTCGGGAACATACTTTTTATAGTCAACTCTTGCCTTACGGATACCCCGCCATAACGGACACCCCTATGTGGTAGCATTCCTTTTAACCAATCTAAATCCCGATTTTGCGATCCAAAATTTGATTTTTCGTTCCATTAAGGACTAAACCAATCTAAGATTGCAAACTGAACGATCCACCTCGGCACTTGGATCGTTCAGATTGGTATCTCAATCTGGTTTTAGATTTTTATTCCATTTAACGAAACTGCTTTTCTATTGCAAGGACGTGCTCGTTCATCGATAAACACGGCGGGTCAAGGTTAGTTCGGGCAAAAGTAATTTACACCTCTCCGTTGTTCTATGCCGCTAAAGAATTGTAGTGTATTAAACTCAAGTTCCCCATGTAACTCTAAATCCATAAGGAAGCGAAAATGCTTGCATTTTCTCAACGTAAAACTATAGTGTCCAATGTGTGTGTGTTTAGAGCGTGCTTCTCAGCGCTTGAGAATTCGTAATTGTTTTCTGAATTTTCTTGAATCAAATTCCAGATAATTTATGTTGACGAGTCCCAGTTTGAGCCACAACTAGTTAAAGAGCTTTTTTCTTCTATTTCTCCACGAGAAGACGCTTAATTTAGCGGCTGAAAGAAAGAAGAAGAAGATTTCAGATTTTTGTTCCGACTAGCACGAAAATCCAAACAATCTGGATTGTCTAAATCCGAAAAAAGTTTGGCTAAAAGGAATGTAACCACAGACTGTAGCTAAATCTCCGGCAAAATAAATTACAGACGCTTGACTGACAGCTACTAATAAAAACTCCCGCTATTAAAGACTCTCGCCAAAGAGGACACCAACTTGAGGTCCCTACAGTGTTCGCTATAAAGGGAGTTGACTTTATTTATATATTGTTCCCAATGTTATTTAACGTTGCTTGTAAGATATTTACTTATTATTATTCCAGAATAACTCGTGTTTTATAAACCGATACTGCTTTGCGCCAAATGAGACAAATCCCATCGACTGGTGCTATCAGTGCTTCCCTGAAGTGAGCACAAAGGCTTGGACAAAACGTCAAGGTGATTGATAGAAACAAGTGAAATGTTCGTCGGTATATAAATAATAAGAAGAAATACTTTATTTACACTGCAAAAAATAGATCAGCTGAGTATAAAAAGCAGCTGGTATAAACCTATGTGCAGCAATAAAATACTTCAAGATTAAAAACGTAGTAAGTAAATAAGCGGAAAAGCTAATATATTCAATAAAAAAGGCGCATGTGAAAAAAAGGAAATGAATTAATCGACAATCTACATTTATGCTGTGCTTTTTCTTGTTCTTGCAAATACTTAGATGCTTTTCCTTTAAAAGGATCCTAAAGTTAGGCCATCAGTCCGTAATTTATTGGGTTAAACTCGTTCCAATCCTTTGCTCCTTTGAATTTAAAAGTAGACTGGCAAATAGTGGATTTTACTTTGGGCAGATGAATTTCTGTTCTATCTCTTAAGGTCCTACCACGGCATTCAGATCTCAAGGTCATATAATTATAAAGTTGCGTAGGACAACGCTGCCTTTTAACAATTTTGAACACTATTTGAAGACACCTAAATCTTCGCCTACTAGATAACGTTAAAAGTCCTAGTTTGTCTCTCGTCGTTTATGAACAAGTCAGATGGTTTGCCCTTAAGATAGTCCTTATTGCTTTGATTTGAAGTCGTTCTGAAAAATCAGAGGTGAGTCTCTCACTGATTTTGTTTATTGTTCGCAAATTTCGAAAAAAAAAATGTCTTTATTCCTTGCCTCAGTTAATCTTCCACCTCAATTGCCAACAACAACAAATTACTACGTGGTGTCTGGAGAGTACCTGGAACTAACTATTGAAACTACCCATTTGAAGTCGTTCTAAAAAAACCGGAGGCGAGTCTGTCACTGATTTTGTTTATTGTTCGCAAATTTAGAAAAAAAAATGTCTTTATTTCTTGCCTCAGTTAATCTTCCACCTCAATTGCCAACAACATCAATTTACTACGTGGTGTCTGGAGAGTACCTGGAACTACCTATTGAAGTTTCAGACCCTGAAAGCATGCCTGTAATCGTCACATTGATAGATGGGAGCCCAAGTAGCGCTACTGTTCGCGACAACGTTTTATTATGGAATGCTACAGGTGAAATTTCAACAATATTCGCTCTCAAAGCTACGGACGCGTGTCAAGCATACTCTTTGTTAAATATCACTGTCAGCTTACGTAGCTGTCCATGTAAGAACGGAAGCTGCGTTCCCCATCCTAACAAGCCCAGAGGTTCTGGTTACTACGCCTGCGATTGCATCCCTGGTTTTACTGGAGCCATGTGCGAAACCGATATTGATGAATGTCAATCTTTCCCTTGCTTTCGAGGTAGGGTATTATAATCATGCCTGAAACGCATACGAAATAGCATCTTATATAAAGGTATCGCTCTTTCGCTTTACTTCCCGATTCGTCATCTGGACGTCCACGTCCAAGATCCTCTCTCGTTCTGATTCTCGGAAACGTTGGCTCCAGCGAGCACACACAATTTATCGAGGTCGCAGCTAGGGTGAACAATTGGTACAAACTACCTTTTTATGTCAATAATTGAATTGGTGTCTTTGTTCACAGGAATACGGGAACAGCCCATTAAAATTGATTGCACAAATAGGAACGAAGAAACCAATCAAATGAAGTCATAAAAGATGAGGCTGCAGTACTTACAGTAACTCGCCTCCACTAACTGTATACGATTAGGGACATCTCTGTTCACAACGACGTTTTTTTTTTTATTCAAATTTGTAACGGGTGAAAGAAAAGAATCTTTTGTTTCAAGAACCAATGCTCTTCTGGTCAGCACATTAATATCAGTAGGTGACGTCGGCATGAGTATCGCTATAGTTACCAGCACATGAAACTTTTGGAATTTCTTTCAATTGGAAGCTTTGCGGTTTTCTGATTTCTTGTTTTGTTTTTGTTACGGTTTTTTGCACCCGTTGAATAACCTTTTTGAGTTCAGTTTTACCCTGCCGGCGAAACCACTTGATTCCCAGTCTGTACATGTTTTGTAATTTGATAAAACGTTAACGTAATTTATTGTTATACCGTTGTTATGTTAAATAAGCCTAACCACAAACGTTCTCAAAGATTCCTTAAGTCAACGGGACTTGAATCAGTGAATTGCATTCTGTATCTCTGTTGTTTTAATTTACGATAGGCCTGCCTTATAACAGACTAAGGCCACATTTATATGAAGAAATCTTGCCCGGGGTAGAATGGTCACTCCCCTACTTGAGCTCCCCTACTTGAGCTGCTAGCCAACTTTTTAATTTATACCTTTCGTTACAAATTGTGACGAACCGTTTACACAAGAAACAAAAAGCTGATTCGGTTAGAGCCGAAGGTTGGGTGACCCTCCTAGCCGTGTGAACTCGTTAAAGGCGAGACAATAAGACACTAGCGCTGTTGGCTTGGGCAAAGGGGATTAGTTTTTTTTCCGTAAATTAACATGTGAGCATGACCCTCTTTCCCGGGACCACTCCCCCCGCCCATAAAAACGGGGCCCAAGCATCGGGTACCGAGCTCTGCCAGTTCTTAGGCCGGTCACGATTTTTTGGAGATATATATGACAGCTATTTTTATCAATTTATCATGTTAAGAATTCAAGTCAAATAATTTCTGTTCAAAAGGTTACTGTCTCGATGGTATTAACAACTTCACGTGTGTTTGCGATCCCGGGTACGTTGGGTGGACCTGCGACACTGATTATGACGACTGCACTACGTCTCCCTGTGTTTATGGTAAATAATGTACTGTTTCATCAAAGAGCACATTTTATCAAGTTGCACCAGACGACGCAGCTGATTATTCTATTTTTGATCATACACGAGCTCGGCGTGAAAATCTTTGTGCCGCACGTGTTTTATCATAGTCTTTACATTTCGTTTTTGTATTTTCTTCAGAAAAATTTTATTATTTACGTATTATTTAAGATAATTTAACATGAATTTCATTTTGGCATACCAGTGATGTCTGTAATTTTCTAGTCTGTTTGCTGCGAGAAGTTTTCCATGAATGGCATTGGCTAGAGAGATCAAAAGCCACCTAATAACGTTTATATTTTATTAAGGTATTATTTTCTTGAAAAAACTGGTCATTGTTAACATCAGCGTTCTTTAACTTTTTATTTGTTTTGTTTTGATGTGTTTTAGGAAACTGCACGGACCTTATAGCGGACTACAGATGCGATTGTAATGCTGGCTATGGTGGAAAGAACTGTTCCATCGATATTGATGAGTGCGAGTCATCGCCCTGTACCCGTGGCAAGTAACCGTATCTAATATTCATCGAGTAACCTGTAGAATAAGCCAAAATGACTGAAAGGGTATGCAAAAAGATGCTAAATTGCACTCCTTAGTTTTCTTGCTAAGATGTTCAAAGTGCTCAGATCAGAACAGAGAGGCAAGAAAAACTAGCTACCTGACCGAGAGTATACTATTATGTAATGGAAAATTGAAGCACAAACACTAAGCTACACTTGATTATATAATGCTATTATTCAAAGGGCGTTTTCCGAACGACTGGCCCTGCCGGACCATGGCTTGACCAATCATTTGGAAAATGAAATACGCTTTTCCCAAGCGTTATTGCTGAAAAACTATCTCCTTCGTGCATACCATTCAGGATTTGGCTGATCTGGTAAGAAATTTTTTATTAAAAGTGACGACGGGAATAGTCTGGCGAGTCAGTTCTGACAAATGGAAAGCACCTTCAGATAGTGACACAATTACCGATTTTTTTTTCTTTCCTTTGTATCATTTTTTAAACTGTGGACCATGGGTGGTATTGCAATTTCGGAAAAAAAAAACGGTTAGTTAAATCAATATAAAGTTGGTGTTACGTGCTTGAATTAACTCTTATGATAATCCATTAATTTCAGGTACATGTGTTGACGGAGTTAATAGCTTCACCTGTGTGTGCGAGGATGGTTACGGCGGTTATCTTTGTGATTTTGAGATCAACGAATGTCAGTCTTCTCCTTGTGTCCACGGTACTGACGCACCTACATTTACTATAACTCGATCACTTCTCTCGAGAAGCTAATTGGCTCGTCCAACGTCGATTACCTTTTGCTCAGTTAACTTAACATTGTAAACCAATGTGAACAAAATACGTCAATCAATCCTAATCCAAACGTGCGCTAGAATAAAGAATTTCATGTATGCTATCAGAAAAGTTATGCTTCACATTTTTGTGAGCGAAAGTTCTTGGCATTTCAAAAATGGCGGATGATATAAATTTATTCGAAAGAAGGCCTTTTTGACGAAGGTTACAAGCCGTTAAGCAGCGAGGTCGATGGAGCGCGAGTTATCCACAAGATCTCAATGAGAGTGGTTTGGAGATCAAGTCTTCAGTCAAAACCTTTTTATAGTTTGTTAAAACAGAAAAACATGTTTAAATGACGAAGAACTCAATCATAAAAAAAAGAGAATTATTGTTAGGGCTATTCAACTCGGATAGCTCTAAGTTTTCAATAAAATTCACTATCGGTATAGTCATTGTTGGCGTCCTTTTACACGACAGCATATCCCATAAGGAACAGAGGTTTCCTCTTTTTTGGTGAAAAATCCATATTACCTATTTTTTAAAATTTTTTTTTTTTTTTTTACCAATTAGGAACATGCCTGGACAAAATCAATAGCTTTTCTTGTAACTGTGAATCTGGATTCACTGGAGCAAGATGTGAGGTGAATATTGATGATTGCCATCAATCTCCGTGTGGAAACGGTATGCTCTCACTTTTTTTATTAATTAATTAATTAATTAATTAATTAATTTGTTTATTTATTCATTTTTTCCAAAAAAAAAATTAAACCAAAACCAAATTTCTTACATCTTTGTCAGTTTTATTTATTTAGTACTTTGTTTTTTTGTTGTTCTATGCTGTGCTTTAGTTTATTTAACTTTCAATTAGAGTCGATTTTTGACATACGTGTAGAGATAATAATCCCTTTAAAAATACTGAAAGTTTCAGCAGTTCTAATTATGCACAGTTTATTAAGAATCAACAGTCGAAACTTTTTCCTCGAAGTTTACGTGCATTGGTATAAACAATTCTTCATTCAATACTATGTTTAAATGATATCTTATTGTAAATTATTCCCTTAGTTTTATACTCCTGATAGTTATAACCTACTTGAAAAGCAGTCATTAGAACTTCAGAGTGTTTTAAATAACGACGGTTATTACTTGAAGTCCTTAACAATTTGACTCCAAGAGCTGCTTTGGGTTGTTCAGACGCTACTTCTATTGTTGAACTTTTTTGTGGCTAATCTAGCCTTCGAGCAGATGTCCTTCGATGATTTTGGCGCGAATTTCTGTAACGTTTCGAAGCTGCGTCACGCCGATCTCCGATCTCGAAAGTTGAGCGTTACATATCGGATAGGTTCTGTACCACATTTTGGTTTCTTGTGAATAAGTACTCGGACCGTGTTGGAGAAGTAGGAATAAGGACTGGAATCCACTGAGACAGAAGTAAAAATTTCCAGGAGTGAAGACTGGGATTTAGTTCACTAAACCATCTCGGCACGATGTACGAAGTATGTGAACAACTTCCTCCAGTTCTGAGCCGTTGCCATACTGTTCAGACTGTACCGGATAGCTTTTTGTGTCGGCAAGAAAAGCTATCGTAGTGTGAACATAGCCTTAATATTGCAACGCGTATACATTTATTACAGTAAGGGAGATATACAGTCAGATCTTTTTTAACAGAGACTTGTTTATTTTACTGCAAACGGTTTGCGGTTAACGGTTTCAAGTTGCCCGTCTGCCCATATTTGGGACCTAAGATTCGCGGGTGGTAGCTCGTAGCTGCCATGTTTGCTTTCATTCATCACTTGCTCCTATTTAACTGAGAAATTGTCTTCAAAATTACCTTTTTCGAAATAGAACTCGATAATCAAGTAGCAAAAGAGTTCTAAAAAGTTTAATTTCTTCTCAAACATAGGATTGTGATGTTCTAGGAACCAAAAAGCTTTGCAGTAAATAACTTACTTCTGCAACGTAGTCTAGCCGATGCAAACGTGAACCTCAAACCGCAAACTTGACGACAAGGCCCTGGTCAGGTGACTTCTTGACGTTCGCGGTTAGCGGGAGATGCCGAAAACCTCAATCTTAAGGTCTCTAATAATCCGTATAATCAGCAGGATATAAATTTTAATTTAAATTTATAGACCATATTTGTAAGCTCTTTGTCTACGAAAACAATAATCATCAATAAAAATCGTCATACCTGTCAAGTTCTAAGCCGTTCTTGCATATACTCTGTCTTTACTAAAGGGACTTGTGTTGATCTCGTAAACAATTATACATGTAACTGCAACGTTGGATTTACTGGTGTCAACTGTGAATTAGTCATCAAGAACTGCACTGAGGACTCCTGCTTTCCCAATGTGACCTGCTTCAAAAACAGCTATACGATTAGCTGTGGCCCGTGTCCATTAGGATTTACTGGTGATGGAAAGAATTGCAAAGGTATCAGTATTTTTTTTTATTATTGAAAAAAAAAAAAGTAAAAAAAAAAAAAAGCAAAAAAAGTTCGCTTTTAAAAAATTTGTTAAGCACGAACTGAAAAAGCATATTAAAAGTAAAAAAACTTTAAATTTTAAGCCGTATATCTCAAAAATACAAAATACATCGGCCCCGAAAATTAAAAAGATTTTTATCATAAAAAACCCGGCAATGTTTAAATGGTTTTAGTCATCGCCCTGTACCCGTGGCAAGTAACCGTATCTAATATTCATCGAGTAACCTGTAGAATAAGCCAAAATGACTGAAAGGGTATGCAAAAAGATGCTAAATTGCACTCCTTAGTTTTCTTGCTAAGATGTTCAAAGTGCTCAGATCAGAACAGAGAGGCAAGAAAAACTAGCTACCTGACCGAGAGTATACTATTATGTAATGGAAAATTGAAGCACAAACACTAAGCTACACTTGATTATATAATGCTATTATTCAAAGGGCGTTTTCCGAACGACTGGCCCTGCCGGACCATGGCTTGACCAATCATTTGGAAAATGAAATACGCTTTTCCCAAGCGTTATTGCTGAAAAACTATCTCCTTCGTGCATACCATTCAGGATTTGGCTGATCTGGTAAGAAATTTTTTATTAAAAGTGACGACGGGAATAGTCTGGCGAGTCAGTTCTGACAAATGGAAAGCACCTTCAGATAGTGACACAATTACCGATTTTTTTTTCTTTCCTTTGTATCATTTTTTAAACTGTGGACCATGGGTGGTATTGCAATTTCGGAAAAAAAAAACGGTTAGTTAAATCAATATAAAGTTGGTGTTACGTGCTTGAATTAACTCTTATGATAATCCATTAATTTCAGGTACATGTGTTGACGGAGTTAATAGCTTCACCTGTGTGTGCGAGGATGGTTACGGCGGTTATCTTTGTGATTTTGAGATCAACGAATGTCAGTCTTCTCCTTGTGTCCACGGTACTGACGCACCTACATTTACTATAACTCGATCACTTCTCTCGAGAAGCTAATTGGCTCGTCCAACGTCGATTACCTTTTGCTCAGTTAACTTAACATTGTAAACCAATGTGAACAAAATACGTCAATCAATCCTAATCCAAACGTGCGCTAGAATAAAGAATTTCATGTATGCTATCAGAAAAGTTATGCTTCACATTTTTGTGAGCGAAAGTTCTTGGCATTTCAAAAATGGCGGATGATATAAATTTATTCGAAAGAAGGCCTTTTTGACGAAGGTTACAAGCCGTTAAGCAGCGAGGTCGATGGAGCGCGAGTTATCCACAAGATCTCAATGAGAGTGGTTTGGAGATCAAGTCTTCAGTCAAAACCTTTTTATAGTTTGTTAAAACAGAAAAACATGTTTAAATGACGAAGAACTCAATCATAAAAAAAAGAGAATTATTGTTAGGGCTATTCAACTCGGATAGCTCTAAGTTTTCAATAAAATTCACTATCGGTATAGTCATTGTTGGCGTCCTTTTACACGACAGCATATCCCATAAGGAACAGAGGTTTCCTCTTTTTTGGTGAAAAATCCATATTACCTATTTTTTAAAATTTTTTTTTTTTTTTTTACCAATTAGGAACATGCCTGGACAAAATCAATAGCTTTTCTTGTAACTGTGAAGCTGGATTCACTGGAGCAAGATGTGAGGTGAATATTGATGATTGCCATCAATCTCCGTGTGGAAACGGTATGCTCTCACTTTTTTTATTAATTAATTAATTAATTAATTAATTAATTTGTTTATTTATTCATTTTTTCCAAAAAAAAAATTAAACCAAAACCAAATTTCTTACATCTTTGTCAGTTTTATTTATTTAGTACTTTGTTTTTTTGTTGTTCTATGCTGTGCTTTAGTTTATTTAACTTTCAATTAGAGTCGATTTTTGACATACGTGTAGAGATAATAATCCCTTTAAAAATACTGAAAGTTTCAGCAGTTCTAATTATGCACAGTTTATTAAGAATCAACAGTCGAAACTTTTTCCTCGAAGTTTACGTGCATTGGTATAAACAATTCTTCATTCAATACTATGTTTAAATGATATCTTATTGTAAATTATTCCCTTAGTTTTATACTCCTGATAGTTATAACCTACTTGAAAAGCAGTCATTAGAACTTCAGAGTGTTTTAAATAACGACGGTTATTACTTGAAGTCCTTAACAATTTGACTCCAAGAGCTGCTTTGGGTTGTTCAGACGCTACTTCTATTGTTGAACTTTTTTGTGGCTAATCTAGCCTTCGAGCAGATGTCCTTCGATGATTTTGGCGCGAATTTCTGTAACGTTTCGAAGCTGCGTCACGCCGATCTCCGATCTCGAAAGTTGAGCGTTACATATCGGATAGGTTCTGTACCACATTTTGGTTTCTTGTGAATAAGTACTCGGACCGTGTTGGAGAAGTAGGAATAAGGACTGGAATCCACTGAGACAGAAGTAAAAATTTCCAGGAGTGAAGACTGGGATTTAGTTCACTAAACCATCTCGGCACGATGTACGAAGTATGTGAACAACTTCCTCCAGTTCTGAGCCGTTGCCATACTGTTCAGACTGTACCGGATAGCTTTTTGTGTCGGCAAGAAAAGCTATCGTAGTGTGAACATAGCCTTAATATTGCAACGCGTATACATTTATTACAGTAAGGGAGATATACAGTCAGATCTTTTTTAACAGAGACTTGTTTATTTTACTGCAAACGGTTTGCGGTTAACGGTTTCAAGTTGCCCGTCTGCCCATATTTGGGACCTAAGATTCGCGGGTGGTAGCTCGTAGCTGCCATGTTTGCTTTCATTCATCACTTGCTCCTATTTAACTGAGAAATTGTCTTCAAAATTACCTTTTTCGAAATAGAACTCGATAATCAAGTAGCAAAAGAGTTCTAAAAAGTTTAATTTCTTCTCAAACATAGGATTGTGATGTTCTAGGAACCAAAAAGCTTTGCAGTAAATAACTTACTTCTGCAACGTAGTCTAGCCGATGCAAACGTGAACCTCAAACCGCAAACTTGACGACAAGGCCCTGGTCAGGTGACTTCTTGACGTTCGCGGTTAGCGGGAGATGCCGAAAACCTCAATCTTAAGGTCTCTAATAATCCGTATAATCAGCAGGATATAAATTTTAATTTAAATTTATAGACCATATTTGTAAGCTCTTTGTCTACGAAAACAATAATCATCAATAAAAATCGTCATACCTGTCAAGTTCTAAGCCGTTCTTGCATATACTCTGTCTTTACTAAAGGGACTTGTGTTGATCTCGTAAACAATTATACATGTAACTGCAACGTTGGATTTACTGGTGTCAACTGTGAATTAGTCATCAAGAACTGCACTGAGGACTCCTGCTTTCCCAATGTGACCTGCTTCAAAAACAGCTATACGATTAGCTGTGGCCCGTGTCCATTAGGATTTACTGGTGATGGAAAGAATTGCAAAGGTATCAGTATTTTTTTTTATTATTGAAAAAAAAAAAAGTAAAAAAAAAAAAGAGCGAAGACAGTTCGCTTTTAGAAAATTTGGTTAGCACAAACTGAAAGAGCATATTAAAAGTAACAAAACTGTAAATTTTCAGCCGTATATCTCAAAAGTAGCAATTACAGCGGCCCCGAAAATTAGAAGGATTTGTATCAGAAAAAACCCAGTCATGTTTAAATGGTTTTCCATACAAATCCTTGTAAATCACACATGTGCTAACGGTGGATTGTGTGTAAATGGCATCAATAGCTATTAGCTGCTATTCCTGTAATTGCTCCGCTGGTTACACTGGAGAACGCTGTTTGACTGGCAGGTCGAAGCTTTCACCTCTTTTTCATTAATACGCCGTGGTGTTCTTTAAGGGAAAATTATTTTGAAGCAATCCTGAAGTCTGCGTATTTTCTAATTGATGGAAATACGAACCTTCCGGACATCGATGATTGTGTAAATCACACATGTGCTAATGGTGGATTGTGTGGGGATGGTGTCACTGAGTATTACGTGTCATTGCTCTGCGGGTTATACTGGAGGACGCTGTTTGACTGGTAGGTGGAAGTGTTGACCTCCGTGTTATTGATTCCACATGGTCATATTTTAGAGAAACCTATTTCAAGTAATCATGGAGCTTGCATATTTTATAATTGATAGAAATGCAAATTTTCCAGACATCCGTGATTGTGTGAATCACACATGTGCTGATGGTCGATTGTGCGAGGATGGTATCAATACTTATTCGTGTAATTGCTCTGCTCGTTACACTGGAGAACGCTGTTTGATTGGTAGTTGGGAGAAGTGACCTCTATCTTGTTGATTCCACGGGGTGATCTTTTAGAGAAACTTATTTTAAAGCAATGTAGTTTGCGTTTTTCCTAACTAATAGAAAATGCTAATTTTCTAGATATTGATGACTGTGTGAATCACACTTGTGCTAACGGTGGATTGTGTGTGGATGGTGTCAATAGCTATTCGTGTAATTACTCTGCGGGTTACATAGGAGAACGCTGTTTGATTGGTTGGTAAAAGTTCTGACCTCGGTCTTGTTGGTACCACGTAGCGCTCTTTTAAGGAAGTCTCTTTTTAAGCAATCATGAAGTTTGCGTACTTCCTAATTGATAGAAATGTTTATTTTCTAGACACCGATGATTGTGTGAATCACACTTGTGCTAACGGTGGATTGTGTGTAGATTCTGTCAATAGTCATTCGTGTAATTGCTCTGCTAGTTACACTGGGGAACACTGTTTGACTGGTTGACCTCTCTCTCGTTAATACCACGTGGTGTTCTTTTAGGGAAATCTGTTTCAAACCTAATTGATGGAAAATGCTAAGTTTGTAGACATTAGATGTCTTTGACTGTGTAAAGTACAGTTGTGCTAATTGAGGATTCAGTTGTGTGAATGGTGTCAATATAGTTATTCGTGTATTTGTTTTATGGGCTACGTTGGAGAACTATTCCCTAATTGATAGAAAAACTAATTTTATAGATATTGATGACTGTGTGAATCACACATGTGCTAACGGTGGATTGTGTGTGGATGGTATCAATACTTATTCGTGTAATTGCTCTTCTGGTTACACTGGGGTAGGTCGAAGGTTTGACCTCTCTCTCGTTAATACCAGGTGGTGTTCTTTTAGGGAAATCTGTTTTAAACCAATGAAGTTTGTGTATCTTCTAATTGAAGCAAAATGCTAATTTTGTAGACATTGATGTCTTTGACTGAGTAAAGCACAGTTGTGCTAATTGAGGATTCAGTTGTGTGGATGGTGTCAATAGTTATTAGTGTAATTGTTTTATGGGCTACACTGGAGAACTATTCCGTAATTGATAGAAACACTAATTTTATAGATATTGATGACTGTGTGAATCACACATGTGCTAACGGTGGATTGTGTGTGGATGGTATCAATACTTATTCGTGCAATTGCTCTGCTGGTTACACTGGAGAACGCTGTCTGACTGATAGGTCGAGGTTTTGACCTCTCTCTAGTTAATACCACTTGGTGTTCTTTAGGGGAAACTTATTTTTAAGCAATTGTGAAGTTGGCGTATTTTCTAATTAATGAAACTGCTAATTTTCCAGATATCGATGATTGTGTGAATCACACATGTGCTAATGGTGGATTGTGTGTGGATGGTATCAATACTTATACGTGTAATTGCTCTGCTGGTTACACTGGAGTACAATGTTTGACTGGTAAGTAAAAGTGTTGACCTATCTCTCGTCAATGCCACGCGCTGTCCTTTTAGGGAAATCTGTTTCAAGGCAATGAAGTTTGTGTATCTCCTAACTGATGGAAAATGCTAATTTTCTAGACATCGATGATTGTGTGAATCACACTTGTGCTAACGGTGGATTGTGTGTGGATGGTGTCAATAGCTATACGTGTAATTGCTCTGCTGGTTACACTGGAGAACACTGTTTGACTGGTAGGTGGGAGTATTGAGCTCTATCTTGTTGATTCCATGTGGTGATCTTTTAGAGAAACCTATTTTAAAGCAATGTAGTTTGCATTTTTCCTTTCCTACAATGTCTGACTGGTGAGTAAAAGTGTTGACCTATCTCTCGTTAATACCACACGCTCTCCTTTTAGGGAAATCTGTTTCAAGGCAATGAAGTTTGTGTATCTCCTAACTGATAGAAAATGCTAATTTTCTAGATATTGATGACAGTGTGAATCACACATGTGCTAATGGCGGAATGTGTGTGGATGGTGTCAATAGCTATTCGTGTAATTACTCTGCGGGTTACATAGGAGAACGCTGTTTGATTGGTTGGTAAAAGTTCTGACCTCGGTCCCAGTGTTGGTACCACGTAGCACTCTTTTAAGGAAATCCCTTTTCAGGCAATCATGAAGTTTGCGTATTTCCTAATTTATACAAATGCTTATTTTCTAGACATCGATGATTGTGTGAATCACACTTGTGCTAACGGTGGATTGTGTGTAGATGGTGTCAATAGTTATTCGTGTAATTGTTTTATGGGCTACGTTGGAGAACTATTCCCTAATTAATAGAAAAACTAATTTTATAGATATTGATGACTGTGTGAATCACACATGTGCTAACGGTGGATTGTGTGTGGATGGTATCAATACTTATTCGTGTAATTGCTCTGCTGGTTACACTGGGGAACGCTGTTTGACTGGTAGGTCGAAGGTTTGACCTCTCTCTCGTTAATACCAGGTAGTTTTCTTTTAGGGAAATCTGTTTTAAACCAATGAAGTTTGTGTATCTTCTAATTGAAGCAAAATGCTAATTTTGTAGACATTGATGTCTTTGACTGAGTAAAGCACAGTTGTGCTAATTGAGGATTCAGTTGTGTGGATGGTGTCAATAGTTATTAGTGTAATTGTTTTATGGGCTACACTGGAGAACTATTCCGTAATTGATAGAAACACTAATTTTATAGATATTGATGACTGTGTGAATCACACATGTGCTAACGGTGGATTGTGTGTGGATGGTATCAATACTTATTCGTGCAATTGCTCTGCTGGTTACACTGGAGAACGCTGTTTGACTGGTAGGTCGAAGTTTTGACCTCTTTCTCGTTAATACCACTTGGTGTTCTTCAGAGGAAATCTATTTTCAAACGATTGTGAAGTTTGTGTATTTTCTAATTGATGAAAATGCTAATTTTCCAGACATCGATGATTGTGTGAATCACACATGTGCTAATGGTGGATTGTGTGTGGATGGTATCAATACTTATACGTGTAATTGCTCTGCTGGTTACACTGGAGTACGCTGTTTGACTGGTAAGTAAAAGTGTTGACCTATTTCTCGTTAATGACACGCGCTGTCCTTTTAGGGAAATCTGTTTTAAAGCAATGACGTTTATGAATCTCCTAATTGATGAAAAATGCTAATTTTCTAGACATCGATGATTGTTTGAATCACACGTGTGCTAACGGTGGATTGTGTGTGGATGGTGTCGATAGTTATACGTGTAATTGCTCTGCTGGTTACACTGGAGAACGCTGTTTAACTGGTAGGTAAAAGAGTTGTCCTCTGCCTCGCTAATGCCACGGGGTGCTCTTTTAGGGAAATCTGTTTAAAATGCAATGATTAATGTATAGTTACTTTAGTGTTAACATTTATAGTGTAATGTAATGTAACGTTATCATGTGTAATGTATTGCAATGCAATGTTATACAATGGCATGTAATTTTAGTATTGTCACGCTGTGGAGTATTTAATAAACAAAAAAGAAATGAAGTTTGCTTATTTCCTAATTGATAGAAAGTGCTAATTTTCTATACATCGATGACTGCGAAAGTTACTGAATTGTGTGTGGATGGTGTTAGTTATTCGTGTAATTGCTGTGCAGGTTACACCGGGTAAGGCTGTTTGACTGGTAGATGGAAGGTTGTGTCATCAACAAGAACAACAACAGCGACAAACATATTTATGTGGCATGTATAATTATAGTAAAATTTTTAATCAAAACAATAGCATTTGACCGTGTTCAGTAATGAATTCTATGTAGACGCAGTTTCTTGTTACTTGCCTTTTTTTGTTTTTATGGTAGTGGTTACAAGAAGTCTTGCTGAAGAAACCACCATTATGACAGAAAACACATTATCAATGGCGAGTACTCCAGCAACAACTTTTTCCAGTATCGTGATAACCACGTCATTGAAGGACGTGCTGCTTTCCAAGAGTAGTAGTGCTTTTACTTCGGTCTACACTCGGCAACAAGGAGAAACAATACTTTTAACAACAACATCCTCAGCGGCCCCATCGTCATCGGTCTTCAAGGCTACACCAAGCCGTCCAATGTCTCCTTCAACTAAAAAAACAGAAGCAGGTATTCAGCATAAAGCTAAGGTAGTAAGCCAGGTCATATTAGGGTATTGTATAAACTCTCGCTTTGCTTAGTCAATTCATAGACCTGTTATTTCACAGTAAAAACCGCTTAATTCAAAAGCTTTTTTTTTCGCTCTTTGCAACAGAAAAACATGTGTTTAAGATTGATTGTATAAGTATTAAACGAATGTTTTTTTTAAAGACTTAGAGTCATTAATTAGTCAATTCATTAATTAATAAGGGTGGCACCTTAATATTTCATTGCTTACTCGCGATTTTTTTTTTAACTTTTGTGAAGAGACAAGTCCAATGTACTGAACAACAAAGAGGACATAAAGTATAAAGAGCGTTACCTACACTGTCATTTCAGGTAGTTTGTAAGGCTTGCCATGTAGTGATTTTATCGTTGGCGTGTTCCAATAACCTGATAATGTTATTTTTGACAGTCCAGTCCTCGCCCTCCTCAAGCAGTGGTACATCTTCCGTACCCTCGTTACAGCTACGAAGTAAATCAGAAATGACGAATGCAACAAAATCATTTTCAGTGAGGCCATCTTCAATCATTCCAGGGTTTACGTCCACCCAAAAGCCTGAAACAGGTACCGGTTAAAAAGTAATTTTAATTCCTAGCTGTTAACAACAAAATTGGCAATTGATTTGTTTTTTTGGCTAATTAATTGCTTGCTTGATTCTTTTTTTATTAAATTGCACTGCCATGAGTAGTTGAAGAGAACGCTCTAAAATTGAAATATGTTTAAAGACTAGCAAAATTATCACTATGCTACTTTAATTTTGTCTTTTTAGAGCACGTATTTAGAATGAAAATCCTCCAAGACTGGAATGATGAGCTCAAAGAAACAGAGAGCACTGCTTTCAAAGATTTGTCTGCGCGCCTTGAAACTGAGGTAAAAACAATAAATGTATTTCACCTTTACACTTCAATTGTTTAGATAAAGCGACGGTAATCCATGTTCAGACTAAAACACTCATTCATTTTTGCAAAGAATTCTAAATAATAAGGATGATGGTAAAAACAGCCTTCGCACACCGGTATGGAAGTTTGGATTACTTATTCAGACTTCTTTTCTGTGATAAATGTAACGTGATGAAACATCACAAAATGACTAGACTGCAAAACAGTCCGTATTTTTGCGTATTCAAGTAAGCGCGAGCAGTCAAACAAAAGGTCTGGAACGAGGCTGAAAACGAAGAGTGAGACTGGGGAGAGACGCTAAAAATACGGTTTTTTTTCTCTCGCCTGTAGGGCGTGTGAGGCTCGCGCTTCGCGCGCGTAAGACTCGTACGCCACGCTTTACCGATTTCTTTACTGATTTTGAGAAAAAAACCGACTGTTTTGCAGTCTACAAAACGACAGGCGATGTCAATTATAGTAAACAAATGTCGGTCATATTTATTTTTTAGGGCGAATTACTTTTACTCTGGTAAGCCAATATTGGATGAATGCTCGGTCTTTAACTCGCTTATTTTTTTCTAGTTTCAAATTTACTCTTTCACCTTTCAGATTATGAAAGCGCTCTCTTCACAAAAAGATTTGATTGGAGTGAAAGTCATTTCCTTCAGGTATTAATAAAACACTTTTAATAATATAACTAGGTACGATTTTGTCTTTGGTTTACGCCATTAATGATTATGAGATTAATTTGTTTATATAATTAAAGATAAAACATTCACTATTAAGTTCGAGATCTGTATTAAGCCGACTTGCTCGGAACACTTCCTATCCGAGACGCCTAGCTGGTCCCATAGACCTCTTTCATAATGGCGGCTCATTAATTTATTATTTCATATGTATATAAATAAGCCTTTCTCGTCTCGTTTAAAAGTAAGAATTCTTTTGTATTTTACACATGCTAAGGAGGTCAGAAATGTTAATTATCATACATACAAAAGAATGTATGAATAGGTTGCCCTCATGAAAGAGGTCTATAATAAAGTTTCGTGTCACGAAAAAAATAGAACTTACCGAGGCTTATCATGGACTCCATCAGATTTCCTTAAGATTACATATTAGTATGAAAAGATTCTCATCTAATCTTATCTGTCCAGTAAAGGAAGTGTGGTTGCAGAGTTCCAACTGATGTTTAGATCGAAGGTGTCGTCAGATGAAGCCTTTGCTGATCTCAAGAATCAAATCAAAGACGGTAATCTTGGTAACCTTCAAGTTGACCCTGCATCACTGGAACAGATCTACCTCACAACCCAAGGTATCTTTCCATTTCTTCCCATTCTCTCTATCGAAACCAAGCAACTAACTCTGAATGCAAGAGGTATTTATTAAACTTCATATGACGTGCAGATTTAGCAGTAGAGCGACAATATGGGCACAAAAGAAATAACCTTTAGATTGTGATCAGCCAGCCAAGGTTGTGAGAGGGTGGCTAGGTTGGTAAGTCATTGAGTGAAAGAAAGGATCAATGAATTATGACTTTGTGTGATATGTGACAAACTATTTGTTGCCTCATATCCTCTCAAGACTACCCTTTCCTGCTGAAGGAACTTGCTCTTGAAGGAGACAACGTGGCCGAGCAGTTGGAGTGCTAGACTCACAATCAAGATCGGAGGCCTGGAGATTAAGTCGCACACTTAATGGTTTCATTCTCGGTTGTCCTGTGTTTAAATCCTAGACACGAGTGTTAAATGTAAATAGCCAACTGGTTCGCCACCGGCCGGGTAGGAAATTGAAATTGATTGAAAATCTCCTTGAGGGGTTAGGATAATTTCGTAAATATTTGCTCAATTATTTCTGAGTTCATTTCTTATTCAGTCGTCTCAGTTCAGTTGTACTGGCTTTAGGGAGTTCATTCTATAAGCTTTCAAGCACCTGTATATTTCTTGTCTCTAGCGCCTACCAAGAAAGACGAAACGAAGCCGAGTTTCGCCACCATTATTGGCATTTCATTCGGCGGATTATTCATCGTGGCCCTTATTACCATTCTACTGGTACGTCACTGTAAGAAAAAGACGTTGCTAGAAAAACGGCATCATTCGAATATAATGCCGTCTGACGAAGCGTTTCCAGACCGTCGGAGGTATGAGGTGGAAAGAGCCAAGTCGGAGGAAAACATCCTTTACCTTGAAGAGATGGGACTCTGGGCAAAACCCATTGAAGGAAAAGAAAATGAAGCATATGATAAATTGTAAAACCAGAGCGCGTTAGTATGAAAATAAGGCGGATTTTCTCCATTTTGTTATTAGAGTGAAGACGTATATGACTTCGAATATCTTAGGCACAAGAAAAGGATCAGCAATAGCTTGGCAATGTCTTAGGCAATTTAGAGCATAAAAATAATAATAAAAATCGCAAAAGTTAGAATTGCTTGCATTAAATTTTAATTAGTATAAATGCGTGGACTTTCTTACATATAACAAGAAAATATCTGCTTTAGTAACTAAGCTGCTGTGGTTTTGCAGTATTCCTTAATCTTTTAATTGTATCAGTTTTATTGGGGTCTACTTATCGTTACTCACTTTAATTTACTTTACATTTTTCCTTTTGCTTGTTAATCATGAGCATGGACATTTAGATTTTCAAAGCCAAGTGAACACTTAATCACATTTTCACGGGTAGCGAATTGGGGGATTAAATCCTAAAAAATATCAGTAGTGACAATTTAAATTGTACGAACGTAAAACCTTTTAAAACTATTTGTTTCCTAGAATTTTAGAGGGTAGGTCAGATTTTGTTTCTGACATTTAGTTTAATACCATAATTGCTACTTGTTTCAACTCCGCCCTGTTTTAGAATACTTGATTACGCTGAATAAAAGGTCAGTTTGGCAAGCGATGTCTGCTTCTGGCTTTTTGGAACGTATTGATAACGCCGAATGGGAGATATAGCCACCCCTAGCAAAACGTTTCCCGGAGTCTCGTCAAATAAGTTAAACAAATAGACTTCATGTTGCCGTGCAGTCCCTGGTAATTATTTATTACTAAATCTGTTCATTTACTTATTTTGTGTTTTACGGTCTCGCCATCTAGCATTAGGGTAAGAATTTTAATGCTTTTATATTCGTAAGTGACAGCAAGCAGTCTTGTGGATTTACAGCAGCTATTATTGTTAACTGCAGCCCTTATCTTGAACGGCAGCAAAATGGAGTCGCTGCATGTTCTTGGTACGTAACACTCACACGTTCACGCAACAATTTCCCAGAATTTCAGCTTGATCTGTTTCGTTCCCATGTTAGCGAATTTCAACTTTAGACCACGTCAGCGAATGTGTCAAGCTATACGTGTAAAGTTCAACCGACCCTTCGCAAATGGCTGTTAGTAATGAAATGTCTTAAGAAACCCCACAGTTTCTCTTCTTATTATGCTTGCGTGTACATGTGTCTAGTGTACTTCCACCTCGCCTTCTCTTCAAACCTTTTTACAAGTTTACTTTCGATAGTCGCAGAATCTGGCTCGAAGGAGAACTCGTTTAGAACACTTATGTACAGTTTGAGCAGTTGCTCAAATGCTTCATCTTCCTGAAGATCGTTCATGGCTACGCTGGCAAATATGCTTTGCAAATCGGCAATCTTTGCTTCAACTTCCAAACAACTTTCCCAATCCATTGCGTGACTTTCCTGCGCATTGATGAAATTGGAGCAAACTTTATAATTTGTAAAGGAGAAAGCCTCTGACGTGTCTTGTTCTCGTTCTCGACCCCTTACCGTGTCTTCTAACAATTCGTAGTAATAATAAAGGTCTGGATCCAGTGCCTCGTGTTTATTTTCCAATTCCTTTTCTTCTTTAACAATGAGTTCATCGATCGCCTTGTTGAGTAATTCGTAGTAATGGGAGGCGCTGGACCCGGCGTTCTTCTCAGATTGTAAGCTCGGAGTCTCGAAGTCTCGAAGAACAGGAATCAGAGCTCGTTTTTCTTGAGCTTTCTAAATCCAGTGAAGGGTAAGTAACAGTTGAACAACGCCTACTTTGCGAACATTCCGTTAGTGCGTACTGACTCTCACTATCGCTTCCACAATAATCATCACCACTTTGCGAGACTTTTAAAGGCCTCCTGGAGTCGTGATCAGATTTTGCAGGAATATCAATGGTTTGTCCCTCAGTTACATCTCCCACTGGTTCACCCGGGTATGGTAATGGCTCTTCATTATGTGTATGGAATTTTGGGAGCGAAAGTGAAGGCAAAGTGGATGAGACGTCTTCCTCGTCTTGATATGCATCGTGTCTAAAGTGGGTGGCGTCGAGAAGGGTCCTAAGGGACGAAAATGATCCATGATCATGTTTTACAGCAGTTTGTTCTTTTGCCGCTGACACTTCTAGAGAGTTTCGTTTTGTTGAGTCGCATGCATTACTCTTGCCGTCTGACTGTGCGCGATTAGCAGCTCTAGTTAAATTAACCTCGCTTCCAGACGAGGCATCATTTTCAGACACACTCCAAACCTTGCCTGTTTTAACAAAAAAGTGTTTTAACTGCCGAAGCATGTATTCTACGACTTCATAGTCTTTAGTCTTCAAGTGTTCGTCTGCTTGCACCTCCGCAAATTAGTCCATAAGTATTGTCAAGAACACACTCATTAAAATCATGACCATAACCATCTGAAACGAAAAGAAGATAACTGGACCCAACAGACGATTGTTCGCCCGGAGTGTTTCAAAATCAAAACCTCCCATCACAGCACTGAACAACGTTTCAATTGTAGTTAGAAAGGACCTGTACTCAGGTAGCCCGCTTCCATAGATGGAATAAAACAGAAAGCTGAAAGCAATGTAAAAGACTAAAAATACTACAAGGAAATAGAACAAAGGTAACGCCGCCTTCGAGAGAGTCTTTGTAAACAAGTAGATTCTGTGGTTAAAGCGCATCAGTTTGAGTAGCTTTAAGTTAGCAAGGAAAACAAGGAACGTCAGTAAATACACAAGGTTTCATCCCAAGATTTCTATTGAATAAGGCTGATGAACTGCCTTGGATTAAGTTTCATTTGACTGATTGCTTTTTGTGTAAAATACGTTCTCTGAAGTAAAGCGATGGCTCCAGTAACAGTTAGGACAACCTGAGAGGATCTAGAAAAATAATTCGTATCAATTCACGACTGGAAATACCCCACACCAGCTGGTGCAGTGCAGTACAGTGCCCAACAATAAAATGCTACAAATATGTAAAATCAACATAAGATACCCTTCACTAATAACCAGAAACTCATCACATGCTAGGCAACCACTGTCTCGCATGGTTTACCTGGATTTAACAGGCCGACTTCAGGATAAAATAGAAAATATATATATACACCTGTTTTTTTGAAAACCGGGCTACTAAAACGTGTCAGTCTCTCGCACTGATTGGTACTTTAATGGCCCTTGTTACTCGCACTTTACAACAACCCCAACCCCCCTGGAATTTAACTAGGCTACCCCAAATGCACCCCAGATGATAGCCCTGTGTCTGTGCAAGAACATGACACCCAGCCAGACACAACCTTCCTTAATTTGAGGGAGACATTGAGCTTTGAAAGATAGGGGTAAGCCCCGGTACAAAAACTCAGCAAATCCGCACTCTAGCACAAAGCATAGTCTTTAGAACAACCCCACCCCCCTGGAATTTAACTAGGCTACCCCAAATGCATACCAGATGATAGCCCTGTGTCTGTGCAAGAACATGACACCCAGCCAGACACAACCTCCCTTAATTTGAGGGAGACATTGAGTTTTGAAAGATAGGGGTAAGCCCCGGTACAAAAACTCAGCAAATCCGCACTCTAGCACAAATCATAGTCTTTAGAACAACCCCACCCCCCTGGAATTTAACCTGTTGCCCCCCTCGTGTATATTTTCTGGAAATTCCACTGATTTCTGTCAATTCCAGGAAGTTATCTGGAGCCCATGGTAAACAGCTGAGGTTGGTTAGTCCTAAAGAGGGAGATTGTTATTTTTACACTAAAAGTGTAAGGGCTTTAAGCATATCAAGTTTTGAAAGATTGCTTGCAATGTGCTGGACTTGACTTAAGATTTCAGGCAACCCGGTTCTCCTCGAAATAATAATTAAAAAATGGAAACTTCTTTAAAAACTTGCTTTGCCCAGACTTCTCTCGCTGCCAAAAAAATCTGAGTTACCCAAAATTTCAAGGTGGCTGCTGGTACTTTCTCTGGCCAATAGAGTTTTAGTTTTGATATTTCGTATCTTTAGTGTTCGATAGTGGTAAGATAATGCCTTTTACTTGCATCCAACTTTGCAAAGTAGCCTTTTCCATAATGCATAATGCTCAT